AAAAAGTTTATTTTGGTCCAGACGATGGGCATACGAGCCGAATAGAGAGGTCTATGATATGAACGCAGTTTCCAAAAAGTCTCTCAATTGTCCAGTTGACGATCGACTTTCATTTATTGTTTTTGTTGGCACTCTTCAAAACTAGTTCTCTGGTGACATGGTTTAATATAATTTTCTCGCCCGAAATTACAAGGTTACAATCACTTTCTCCTTCCGTTCACAAATATAAAATGTTTTGGATATTTCAATACAGACTACATGCGGACTGAAATGTGTGAACAAACACACTAACACGTGTCATATACATCCGATTCAGAAAAAAGTTAGAACATCTTATATATGTGAAGGGAGGGAGTAATTATCAAGTTATACACAGATTATACCCGCTTTGTTACTAGGTTGCAGTATCAGAACATCAGTCTGACTCTGTACCAACGTAAGACTTTGCATGATAGCACTATTATCAGTTTTCTATCGGACGACCCAACATGTGAAGACTAACTAGCACCAGTGTAGTAGTTTGGTTTTTCGTATAATCGTAGAACGAACCACCTATGGAGTTCGCTCCTGACATTACTCCATAATGAACACGCCGAGTTTGGAAATCGGAAAATGGACTAGACTCTAGTGACTAGAGTCCTGAACTTCTAGTATTTTGGATGCTGTAGACACGAAGAATAGGTCTTGAGGTTCATAGCTATGGAAGGCCTCAAAGAATAGGTCTTGAGGTTCAGACAGTTTCTAGTATTTTGATGCTGGAGAACCTTTGGGTACCTTCGCCTGGGATCAGGTCTGTGGCGCTCCCAAGACAACGGACTCCTTCGAAAAAAATGAACAGTATCGCCGCCTTTCGAGCCACTGATGATCCCTTGGATGACAGATGAAAGCAAGTATCTGAATGCTAGTGCTAAAATTACCAGGCAATAAGATACCGTTCCACTCATGGCGAATGTCTTGTAACTTTTTATCTAACTACAGTACTTGTACATAGGTGAGTGCCAAGGGAACAGGGAGCACCTTGACATGATGTTACAGGCATATCCTGCCAATTTTAGGACATTTATCTAACTGCTATGACCTACATATGAGTGATGATCAGGAAATCAGCAAGCTGAGTCAAAATAATTCATGATCTCGCCTGTGGCATAGCTTTGGGGTTGAGGTTGCTTGCTCCAGGTCTGCAAGATGAATTAAAGAAGGAAAAAAATCAGCATCTTCGTTCATACATCATTAGATTCATGTGGGATATCATGTTGGTAACATGAATAGTATCTTCTCAAATGCAGCCAATATGTCGGTAATGATCTTTATCTCATCTTCTCAAGTGGAATTTCCTTGGCACTTTTATGGTTCTGTATACACAATTTACATTTTTTTCGAACCGGGCTATACCCCTTTCCATTGCAAAAGAACGGAAATACAAAGTTCAGAAACATGTCAGGAGAAGGGAAAGAGGTAAAGCGAGTTCGGGCACTGCCAGGAAACCCACTGCATTCGCCCGCCATCGAAACGAATGCCATGGGGCGAAAACCTAGACAGCACCGAAAATCCACAGCAAACACCCTATTTCTTGAGTTTTCACTACAGACAACGACATGAGACATCCACAAAAGAACCAAAACGCCATCACAGGATCGTAGGATCGCCCATCTCCAGCCAACGAGACTTCTTGCAGACCTTCAATCTCCCTCGATCGGCACCCTCACCGCGTTGCACATTCCCATCATGCGCATCGTGCTCGACCTGATCATCTCAGCACCGCTTCGCAGCTCCTTGGCGCCCTCCTCCTCCTGCAGCCCTGTCCAGTACAGCAGGAAAGAACACATGGAAAAAACTATCTCAAAAGGCGTTTTGATAAGTTTCTTTTCGAACGTAGCTCGGTTTCGAGCTAGCCAAATGGCCCAGCAAGCAGCAGCCAAGCCCACAGTATAGTACTTTTGTCCATCAGGGAGAAAAGCATGGCACCATGCAAAATATTGCCAGTAGCTATTCGGACACATCTCAGTACCCAGTACTACCCCAACGCATCTCCAGACCACTTTAGCCACAGGGCAAGTAAAAAACAGATGTTGGGAGGTTTCCAACTCGTTACAGAAAGAGCATGTAGGATTCCCAGTCCATTTCCTCGTTCTCATGACTTGCCTAGTGAGCACTGCGTCCTGAGACAGCTGCCACAGGAAGATCTTGATTTTGAGAGGGATTTTGGCTTTCCAAATCCATCTATAATGGCAACCACTAAGAGGGTTTTCAAGCCACTTATACACAGATTTAGTGGAGAATTTGCCATTACTATTAAGCCCCCAGTAGACCCGGTCCCCACCCTGGCTCAGCTGGATATTCTTGATCATATTACTTATTTCTCCCCATTGACAGGACAGCTCAGGCGTGAGCCTCCTTCTGAAGAAAGAATGGACATCCACAGATTTGAACCTATCAATAGTGCAATCCTGATCATTACAAATCTCAAACAGCGAAGGGTAAAGGGTCTGGAAAGGACTCAGCCCGTTTATGGAATCTTTCCAGACTCTAACTAGGTCACCAGATTCCAGATGGATCCTTCTGCCCACAAAGTAAATATCTTTGACTTTAAGCAGGGCTTTCCAGCAAGGGGAATCAGAAAACCTGGGCTTAACCGAGGCCACAGATTTGTTAGTCAGGTAGCGCGCCCGAACAATATCTTGCCACATACCCGTTTGGGTCTCTAGTTTCCACCACCATTTGACCATCAAACTAATATTCTGCTTGTGTAAGTCCTTAACACCCAGGCCACCCTTATCTCTGGATCTGCAGATCCTATTCCATCTAACCAGATGGTACCTCCTCTTCTTATTGCACCCTTGCCAGAAAAACTTCCTTCTATGCTTGTCTAAAGGCTCGATGAAGGTTTTATTCATGAGCCACATAGACATATGGTATAAGGATAGTTGGGTGACCACCGAATC